TTTGGCATGTATAATAAATGTTTGAATATTTTTAGAAAAATATAATTTTAGGTACATAATTAATTTTAACATATAATAGGGGTGTTTCGATATATTTTTACGAAGGCATAGTTTTGACCTCTAAAATTGATTAATGCAATTATCGAAACAAGCACACTATCACTTATTTTTTAATTCAATTTTTCAATCATATGTTTCCAAAAATTTATCCAAAAATCATATAAATTATTTTGCAAAGTCATATTTTTTAGTTCATAATTAATTTTCACATGTATAGAGGTGTTTGGATATTTTTAAGAAAATCATAATTTTGTATTTGTAATTAATTTTAGCATGTATAATGAGTGTTTAGATATTTTTAGAAATATGTGATTTTAAATTCATAATTAATTTTAACATGTAATAAGGTGTTTGGATATATTTTCAAAAAATCATAATTTTGATCTTTAAAATTGATTCCAAATGTTATCCAAACAAGCACCTTATATGTGTCAAAATCAATTAAGAACGCATGAACCATGGTTGTTTCATAAGTTATTATTAATTATTTTACAAATTATATTTCTGGGTTCATAATTTATTTTGACATGTATAGAGGTATTTGAATATTTTTAAAAAAGGTTAAGATATAATTTTACTCTTAAATTTTTTTTCAAGAAGTAATTTTACCCTTGTATTGATTAGTGGGATAATTTTATCTTTGAATTATTTTGTTTAAAGAGCAAAAAATTCCTTTTTATGGTGTCTAGCGCTCCTCAAAAAAATAGTTCAAAAGTAAAATTATCCTACTTATCACTATAGAGGTAAAATTGCTCCTCGAGAAAAAGTTTGAGGATAAAATTACATCTTAACCCTTTTAAGAAAACTATAGTTTTGGGTTCACTATTGATTTTGACATGTATAGATGGTATTTGGATATTTTTAGGAAAGAATAATTTTGGTTTTTGGATTCATAATTGATTTTAATGAGTAACAAGGGTATTTGGAGATATTTTCACAAAAATATATTTTAACATCTAAAATTGATTTTCAAATTTATCCAAACAAGCAAGCACCACTTAAATAAGGGTGGAGATAAGGGAACTAGGGCCGTCTAAATTTTTTACTTTGTAAAATGTAAGAGTTATATATTTTTAACCCCCTAAGCTAATACATTACATAAACCTTAAGACATTAAATGGAATTTTCATTCCAATTCTATGTGCAGTCTTTTATGTATGTAAAGTGCAATTGTTTCATTAGCTTGAAAATAGATTGTTATGGGATCTACTTATTTTCAAGAGGATAATGTTACAACTGTTCTTAAAGCATTGAAGTTATTTGAAATTGCTTTCATTTTGTATTTGATAAAAGAAATTATAAAAATTATTACTAGTAAACTTTGTCAAGCATTGCAACAAAAATCTCTAGATATATTGAATGTTTTGTGCTTGATATCTACTATAAAATCACTTATCCAAAAATTAAGGGGTTATGATTAAAATGCACTTTTAGAAAAAAAATTACTTTTTTAGAATAACCAAGCTATTAAAATTTATGATATGAATATTTTTATTCTAATGAAATTTGATCTCATCAACATAAAAATTTTGTGATAATTTAACATCATTATCATGTTGATAAATTTATTTGCTATAATTATCTATCGAAAAAATTAAATAGTAAATAGAGTAAGCAAATAATAAAGCTTTTTAAATTGAACAAAATTTTAGATCTCAAAAATATATTTAAATCATTCAATGATCATAGGAAAGATGTAATTTTAACTAACTTAATGATGGTTTATATTGAGAAATAAATTATCATGCTCATAGATATGATAATTAATGATTTTTATGGTATGAAAAATCAATAAGTAGAACTTAAAAAATGAAAGCACATATATATTTTTATTATATATTTGTAAAAATGAATATAAATATGTATGTTGGAATACTTACGTTATGCTAGTTATATGGTATATGGATTTACTTTTTTTCAATTATCATACATGCCTTATAATCTCGGCCCTCCTAATAAAATTTCTAGCTCCATCCCTGCACCTAAATAAAAATACATATAAAAGATGATTCTGCTCAATTCATCAAATTAAATTATTATAGAAGAAGTGCATTGAAACTAGATTAAAAATAAAGATTTTAATAATCAATATTAATACATTTTTTATTATTCATAAATATTCTCTTATTGGAGGTAATCCTATTTGATGAATGATCTAACACTACATGTGAGCAATTTTTTTAGTGGAGATTTGAATCTTGGTTTGTTATGTTGTAAGAAATTAACTTCTTCCACTTGATCCACTCCATTGGTGATACATTTTTATTCCAATAGATGTATAATAAAAAATAATAATGATAGTCTGTTAACTGTCACATTATTAAGAAAATAAATTTACTATTTAAAAATTATAAATTAAAAACTTAAATCTATTGCTTAAATTAAATTTGAATTGTCTAAATTTCACTACTATGATAACAATGAGCACCAAACCAAACTAATAACAAGGAATAACATAATGTATTTAAAAACTCTTTCCTTTGAAAATCGTAAGTCACTTTTAACTAATTTACATCCCTGGTAAGTTAGTTAATAATATTTTAAAATTACTCTGTTTGGTCATGTTTACCTTTATTTTATGACCTGTCTTATCTAAAAAAAGCTTATTAATTTCATCTTCCAATTGATGTCATTTTTTAAAAAGATATCATTAATTTACACTTGAAAAAAAATAATTTTTTTGAGAAAATTAATTTTTTAGTCCATAAATTTTTGACTTGATTATAATCAAATCCCTCAACTTTGAGTCATTATAATTTAGTCTTTATAGTTTTGATTTAGTTGTAACTCAATCCTTAAATTTTGACTCACTGCTCAGTCCCTATATTTTATAAAAAATTATTAAAAGTTTTAGCCATTTAAAATACTGGTCCTAAATTTTAAAATACTTTTAATATTTATAATTTTTTTCTAAAATATAAGGACTAATATTTTAGATGTCTAAAATTATAAGGATTGAGTTACACATAATCAAAATTTAAGAATTAAGTTACAATAATGTTAAAATTATAAGAATTAAATGATTAATTTTTCCTAAATTTTTTAAGGATAAGGATCGTTTTTGCCGTTGAACTCGATGTGAACCATCATAATTGACCCAAAACTCAATAAAGGATCATTTTATATGCCTCAACCTTATAGATTCTTTATTTCATCACCTTATCATGTCCTCCATTCATTTTCTATGTTAGTAGGGCCTACGTGTAAATTTTTTAGTATTTTTATTATAAAATATTAAAAGCAGGTCCTACCATTCATTTTTTAAATATTTTCCCCTCCTTCTCCTTGCAACTTGTCTCCTCTTCTTCATCATTCTTCTCATCTTTGCAACTCAGCTTCAACATTAAAACCAATGTGACTTCTAAACCACATTCATCATGAATGATCGTCACTGTGTTTGGAGTTAAGAGTGGTGTCACTTGGTAAATGGTGATGATATTTCCACTGACACCCACCTCCAATCTCCCCCCTCCTCTGCCGCATCACCAAGCACCCACCTCCACTTTCCCTCCCTCCTCAATCATGAAGAAGGCAGAGTAGTGGGGTGGTGATGAACTGGGCATTGGCATTAATGAACCATGACACACAATCATATATGGACCTAAACATCATTATGAGCTTCTTGAAGCACACACTTTGACTCATGGCAAACTACTCACAAATGCTTGCCACTAATGGAGATGGAAAGGGAGGAGAGAAGGAGATAGAGAGGTGAGAGCGAAAGAGAAAGAGTAAGGGAGGAGAGAGGGAGGAGAGAGGGAGATGGAGAGAAGCAGAGATAGGCCAAAGTCAAAGATGCAAGCAACACCATTCAAAGAGAAGTTGAACATGAGGACATTTGCCATGTTCACATTCAGAGATGCAAGCAACTTCCATCATGTTCACGTTCAAAGACATCCGCCAAAGTTAGAGATGCAAGCAACTTCTGCCATATTCTTGTTGCAGACATCACAAAAATAGGGTTAAACATGAAAAAGGATACCAGAGCAATGCCAACTTTAGTGTTTTTGTTCTCAGGTCCAAGAGTGAGGAACATAAGGTTCAAGGAGAGGTTGGAGCGGCTAGGAGCAAAGGTTCTGAGAGTGTTTAATGTGCATGATATTATGTCTAGTTGGACCATAATAGCTTGTCATTTTTTATGCCTGCCACGCTGATTTTTTAGTGTTGGAGCTGGCCAAAAGAGTGGAGAGAAGAAAAGGTAAAAATAAAAGTAATATAAGGCCCACAAGTAATATCTTTTAATAAAAAATATTTAAAAAGAATTCAAAAATAGAACCACTAACAAAAAAATGGACAAATTAAATAACTAAATAATAGACAAAAATAAAATCTAAAGTTAAGGAATATAAATGATCATTTGTTGAATTTAAGATTTTGTGTCCAATCCAGAAGCAAAAATAACCTTTAACTTTATAAGTTTTTTTTTATATAAACAAAAACACATTCTTCAATAAACATTTACTACAAATTTTTTAGTTTATCCTCTCAAACTTAAAATTTACTATCATGAGAAACATTTATTCTAACATTATGCTAATTAAATACAAGAATGTTTTAATCCAACTTTTTTTTATTTTTAAATACAATTATTATAGTTAACCATTAATCATTAACCACTTTTCTTAAAGCGTGTACAATTATCTTCTCCTACATTTAAAATCGGAGGGAGCACTTTATAAAAGATGACACCTTGCCTAGAGAAAGAGAGACCCTATTTAACACTACATTTCTTTTACCATGGATTGGCTCTTTTTTGTCATGAGAAGAGAGAGGGGGAGAGAGAGACCCTATTTAACACAATACATTTTTTTTTTACCATGGATTGGCTCTTTTTTGTCATGAGAATTATCCAAGAACAAGCTGGGATAATATAACCCACTGGAGAGGATCAGATTCGCTTTATGGAAAGTCCTTTGAGATTTCAAGGAGGATCGCTAGAATGATAGAAATTAGTGAGCGATAAATACTATAACATACACTTGACATGATGGTTCATGCCTTCATGGTCAGGTGGACAGTTTCCTCCACGTCCCTCTCCTTTCCTTCCACAATCAGCCGGTAGTACATGCAAATGAGAACAAGAATCTGACAAAAATTTGAGTTCTCAAATTACCTTCACTGCGTTTCTGTTAAAAAAAAAAAAAAAATTTGCTGCTATTCCGAAATCCTCTTCATGAAGGTATCGAAGAGCAATAAACACATCTAAATCAACGAAACCCTTCATTTCTGCTGTGAGATGTCTCAGTTAATCGTGTGTTTGCTCCAGATCTTTAACAAATGTCCGGAGACACCCATTAATGATACGAGGGGCTGCTCCATCACAAAACCGTTTAGCGAGATCCACCGCCTTCAAAACAACCATGCATTAGAAATAGCAAGTTAGTAGAGAAACCATAAGCGAATTAAAGAAACTCAATTGAAGCTCGTCAGAAAAGAGTAAACAGAAAAAATATATCCACCGCCTTCAAAACAACCATGCATTAGAAATAGCAAGTTAGTAGACAAACCACAAGCGAATTAAAGAAACTCAATTGAAGCTCGTCAGAAAAGAGTAAACAGAAAAAGATGCCACAACAAAATATATAATATTGATAATGGCAATAATATCAGTGATAATAACAATAAGTAGACTAAGAGATACCTCATTAATGACGATTTGGTGCCTTGTTCCAAGCACCGCAATCTCAGAAATTGCCAAGTGAAGGATAGAAAGTTCCAATATCCTACCTGATGGCTCATTCTGAAATGTATCAATAAATAAGATGAAAACTACTGGTGTTAGCAAAGAAAATAATAGTCACAAAGTAGCCAATTCATCAAGGCACATGAGCACAGGGTAGAACGGGTCACTTGTCAATAGCTGGCCTTACATTTGCCACAGAAAAATTTATCGAGATCTAATGCTTTGACTTAACCGAAGGTAATGATGAGACAATAATGAAGTTCTGTCCCCACCCTCCAGCAATTAAGGAATTGATGGGTCTTATAAATGGTCTCTAAATAGCTTGGGAAAGGGGGAAAAAACTGAGTGTTTTGGGAAAACACGAGATTTTGATCCTTTATAAGGGGCATTTTAGGAAAATGCCTTACTTACACCTAGAACTTTATAATCAGACTTATAACTAGGGACACAACAAATCTAAAAGCCGGGACTTGTAACTAGGGATGGACGGAGTAGAAGATAAAGAAGGTCAGAGTATCACACTCTGCAACAAAGCCAATAGATGCATGATACTATTTAACATGTGTAACAAATATGCATTTCTTATAAATATTCGAAACAAGTGTTAAGCATGGTTTCTGTATTCAGTGTATGCAGTGCAGATTTTGCTCTTTTTTTTTTTTTTTAATAAACAGATTTTTCTGTTTTCATCAGCTCGGGAATGTGTTTTCAAGTAAAGACACACAAAGCAGCTGAAAAGGGATTCAATGAAGTGATCAAATGAAAAGATTCATCGTTCTAGGTCAAAACAATAGTAATCTGCTAAGGATACCAGCCTCCTTGCCTTTTCATAGGCAAAATCTTCTGAATTTAAAATAAAGCAAGGCAAAGGGTAGGCTCAATGAAAGGGGGAAAGCTGACATCTCTCACAAAGCCCAACCACAGTGATCCTTTTAATATAGGTCATAGAAACTTGATAATATCAGTAAATGGTTTAGAACAGACAATTTACGTATGCAATCCTAAAGAACAAGAAAATCAGCTACTGCAAGTTACACAAGATATAACAGAAACTTTAATAATTTATATTTTCCTGACTCGTTAGTTTGCTTATAAACACATACCTCTTTGAACTTGGACTGCACAAGAAAAGAACACTCAATTCACTCAAAGAAAAGAAATACAGCACTCAAGCAAAGGGCCATGGATAGAAGAGTTCAAACCAATGATTTGAAATCTGACTTAATTAAAAGTATAGTAATTGGAGATAGAATAGAGAAACGGGAAAAGACAGAAGCATGAATAATCAGCAAAGCCCCAGTGAACCTAAAAGGTCAGGTCGAACTATTCTTAAATGACATATATTCCTTTCCTTGCCATCTACTTGAAGCACTCTTTGTGGTATCATATCACTCAAAAGCATTGTCTTCTTTTGTGGCCATCTAGCAGTTCAACAGGAGCTTCAAAGAATAAATAACTGCGGTTTAGCAAAATTATTAAGACAGAAGTCTTCCGCTAAAAGTAAAAGTGAGGCTCAAAAATTGCATGAACAGCGTTTTGCAAGGGAATTTAAATTTAGAGCACATTCTCTATCATATTTGTGAAACCTTCCAATTTTCTGGGATGACTTTGTTAATAGCAAGGACATGACTATCCCATTTATCCATAACAGCAACCAATAATTTCCTCGCAAACCTGCAGATAAAGCGTGATTCTCCTTTCACTCACTAGCACACAAAAGCATGTAAATTTGCAGTATGAGGGCTAGGGATGAAAAGCTTTGGTTAAAAGTATTGGTTTATGTGTTACCTCAAAATAAGTTTGCTATATACTAGCTTTGGAGGAGCCGCAAGGACATCTGCTTCTGGTATACAGAAAATAACAGATTAAAACCAGTCTAAAGAGAGTACTTAGAAAAGGAAAAAAGGAAAGTAATCCAATTATAAATGAATATTTGTTAGAGAAGAGAAATTTTAATTTAAACAACTAGGCAAGTGAACCACAGGGACATCTCCTAAAACCCCAAAAAGAAAGTCACAATAAAGAAAACTGAACTACATTTATCATACTTATAGTAGGCAAAATAAGAATAAAAGGTAATGGATTTTTCCACTAATACAAGGTGCCTGACATAGTAGGCTTTTAAAACAAATCCAGGTTATATATGCTCGCTGTTAAAAAGAATATAGAAAATTATTCACCCTCGTAGTAAGTGGAATCTTGTAAAGGGTTTTGCAATTTAGTCAAACACACGTTTCTTGCCTAAAGAAATACAAAGACAAGGCCAACTTAGAACATCGTATAACCAAATCCTGAACTGAATCAAAATATGATTACACTTGAAAAAAGAATCTTTTAGGGTCTTTATAAGTATATAAAATCATAAATTAGATACTGCTATCCTGAGACCAAATAACATGAGCATTCGAGGATTTTTAAGCCTGAAACACCATGAAAACTCTATCGTTGCTATTGTGGCTTGCTTTAAAACAGGTAGGCCAAAAAACCATCCAAATGACAGGCTGATGCAACTAAAACTTGACCAGCAGATCGAGAGAGGCACCGGTGAAAGAAGTGGAACTATTAATTTTAAACCCTATTAAGAGGAGTAGAGGAAAACTAAAAAAAACAAGTTATTGACCAAGACCACTTAATTAACAACATTCCTTAAAGCTTGATAAATGATAAAGCATAATAGCGTTATGTAATCTAGGTAACTGATCCCACCTAGTGAGATAAGGTTTCTAGTTGTTGGTGTAGTATATTGTGTCATGAAATTATGCTGACCACATATCGAATTTAAGATTCGAAAATTCCTACTGGATTTGCAATGCTTATAATGGCAATGAAGCGGGCGAACTAGGAGGAGATTCACCAAGCAATTGCAATCTTGTTTGAGTCCACCTTTGACTTTCTAGAAAATTTCAGAATTACAACCATTTTTCAATTTAAAAATATGACCAGTCTATTACCTATGGCAGATTCCTTTTCATTTTTCTGCAGGAGTTCATTAGCTTCTTCAATTGATTCAACAGTAACAGGTGGCCCCCCGAAGCTCATATGATTATACTCTAGCAGCTTCTCCTTGTCAAAATCATAGCCGAGTTCTGCACATTTACATGAGATAACAACTTTAAACAAAACACTTACTCAAATATGGACGAGTTCTCCAAAGCTCCGGCAGATTATCACCGATCTTGAACCCAGAATTCAGATATTATATGGGAAAAGCAAAAACATCGTATATGGACCATTACCTCGACGCGCGTTCATACGTTTCTCAAATAGCCGAACTGGATCCGACCCTTGTAAACAGGCGGCGTAAATTATGGACCTGCGCACCCGAAACTTCAGCTTAGTAAACTACAGTACCTAAGTGAATGCACATGAATACTTACATCAAGAACTTGGGACGTTTCACAAAAAAAAGGGGTTGGAACGAATAATTTACAGAGCAAGTTCTCTGGCGGCTCTAGGACTGCAAAACCTCCCACTTTTATCAATCTTCGGCAGCATTTCTCGAGCAGATATTTTCGATGAAGAATCATTGGTTTTTAAGCTACTTTATTTGGTTTGATTGGAGGGGAGGGGAGGTAATAATTAAATTACCATTATACCCTTATACAATAATATTTTTTTATCTTTTTATCACATAAATCTATTTTATATATAAACTAAAATTGTATAATTTATTTTTAAATTACCCTAATCTTGTCAATTTTTTTCTTCTTCACCCTAAATAAGTAAATTAAATAATACTATTAAATAATCTTATTAGTAAATTAATCTAAATATTAAACAATACTTTGTGAAAAAAAATCAATGAAACTAATGATTTTATGCCCCCAATAATTGCACAAGACAATGCTAGTCTTTAATAACAATTGAACAATAATTGCCATCATTAATAACAAAATATATTGGGCAATAATATCTAATATATTGATCATGTTTAAGAATCACATTTTGACATTTAGCTAACAAAATATACAAAAATTAGAGGGGAGGGGAGGGGAGGGGAGGTAATAATTAAATTACCATTATACCCTTATACAATAATATTTTTTTATCTTTTTATCACATAAATCTATTTTACATATAAACTAAAATTGTATAATTTATTTTTAAATTACCCTAATCTTGTCAATTTTTTTCTTCTTCACCCTAAATAAGTAAATTAAATAATACTATTAAATAATCTTATTAGTAAATTAATCTAAATATTAAACAATACTTTGTGAAAAAAAATCAATGAAACTAATGATTTTATGCCCCCAATAATTGCACAAGACAATGCTAGTCTTTAATAACAATTGAACAATAATTGCCATCATTAATAACAAAATATATTGGGCAATAATATCTAATATATTGATCATGTTTAAGAATCACATTTTGACATTTAGCTAACAAAATATACAAAAATTAGAGGGGAGGGGAGGGGAGGGGAGGTAATAATTAAATTACCATTATACCCTTATACAATAATATTTTTTTATCTTTTTATCACATAAATCTATTTTACATATAAACTAAAATTGTATAATTTATTTTTAAATTACCCTAATCTTGTCAATTTTTTTCTTCTTCACCCTAAATAAGTAAATTAAATAATACTATTAAATAATCTTATTAGTAAATTAATCTAAATATTAAACAATACTTTGTGAAAAAAAATCAATGAAACTAATGATTTTATGCCCCCAATAATTGCACAAGACAATGCTAGTCTTTAATAACAATTGAACAATAATTGCCATCATTAATAACAAAATATATTGGGCAATAATATCTAATATATTGATCATGTTTAAGAATCACATTTTGACATTTAGCTAACAAAATATACAAAAATTATTAATAAAAGTCATCATCTAATTAGAACTATAAAACATCCTCATTATCACATCCTTTCGTACTGGTGCTGGACATTGAGTTGCTGCTCTAAGCCTATCATTATCAGCCATAAGAAACCAATATATGTCAGGTAATCTTGCAGCATCAATCCCACACTTTTCAAGCATTTTCCAAATTTCTTCACTTGACAATTGTGGCACCTTCTTGAAACTTTGTCCTATCATCACATTTCCTTGTTGAATTGCCTCAGCCACAGCTAACACTGCTCTTGTCAACTCATTTATACTAGCCTCCTTCTCCTTAGACACCCTTTTTGTCTTCTTACTACATGCACTATTAATAGTGGGTGAGTGCTCTTGATCAGGTGAGTTTTCTTGTCTCGGTGAGTTTTCTTGTCCATCAAGCTCAACATTAATTGTGGCTCTATTTTGTGAGACAATATTTTTAATGTCATTGACGGTTTCAATAACTTCTTCCTGAGAACGACGTCTCTTTCTCCACTCACGGGCTGTCTCACTCTCATCTCCATTAGCTCTATCTACTCCATATAATATCATCATTTTTTCGTAGTTTGGAAAAGGAGTAGTTATCCACAATGCTGCTTTAGGTTTAGCCTGAAACAAGTGAAATTACAAAAGCAATTCAATTGCAAATGCATACTTTTTCATTTTCAAATAATAATATAATCAATGCATATGTAAGAAATTTACCTCAATTAATGCATCCCAAACTTCAGGCTCAGCATCCCATACTTGAGTTGTTGGATTCCAAGTGAACCTACTCAAACTTTTGAAAATGTCATAAACATCTGAAAAGTTTTTCTTTAAAGTCTTCCATCGATTTTTCACCTTTTCCTTGTCAATTTGTTTACCGAATAAAGCACTCAAATATTTACATATGTTATCATAAGCTGTGGTTGTAAAAGTGCCATTAACTTTGTGACCCTCATTATATTCATTCATGAAAGCATCAACGAGGGCATCATCCATTAATCTTGTCCAATTCACAATCTCCTTATTATTGTTTGGTGCCATCCTATCATATAACAATATAATCACATAATACCAACCCCAATATGAAAAACTAATCAAATTTCAATAGCAAACTAAACAAATAATACAAAGCAAATAAAAGTCAATAAAACAATAAATTTTAATATCTGATCAAACCTCAATTAAACTCAATATAAGTCAATGTAATAATACAACATATTTAAATGTCTATAATGATACAATAGAGTCTAACTTATTGAGAAAATCAAAATTCAATCATCAAGTTCATCCTCAAGAGCAGTCAGATGTTCCTGATAATCTGCCCACATTTGAGTGGCTATATTTTCTCTAATAAGTTCACCTCGAGCAGCCTCATTATTGTCCCCTCTTTGAGCTCGGTTATTATCATTTGAATGGTTTTCTCTTGTAAGAACAGCATCAACTTCCTCTAAAAGATCTTCAATAGGGTCCATACTCATAAGGAAGTTATGAAGAATGCAACATACATATATTATCATTTTTTGTGCTTTGATTCCATATGTAGGTTCAGTTGCATTGGATAGAATGGAAAATCTTTTTTTCAAAACACCAAAAGCACGTTCAATGGCATTGCGTAACCTTGCATGTCGAAGGTTAAATAACTCTCTATAATTTAGGGGGGATTCTGTTTTGAATATTCTTTCAAATGATAACGAACTCCTCAGTAAGGTGTTATAAGTCCTCTTGTTAACATGAATCCAGCATCGACAAGGTAATATTTACCTATCATAAAGGAAAATAATTACTATAATAATTTTACATTCACAAATATAAACTTTATCAAAATTGGTAAAATATTTACCTTCAGGAATTATAAGCTTATCTTCTCGTGTTAATGCATTCTTAATGATTCTTGAGTCAGATGCAGTACCTTCCCATCTAGGGAGCACATAAGTGAACTTTAGATCAAAGGTACATGTTGCTAGCACGTTCTGTGTCGAAAATTCCTTCCTACCATGGTATCTAGGAGCATCTAAAGAAGGCACCTTGACTCGTATATGTGTTCCATCAATAGCACCGACACAATCCTTAAAATATGGGAAGAATTTCTTATCTTTTTCAATTTCAGGAAGAATGGTTGAGCCATTAGGTTGAACTAAAAATTTTTCTTCTAAGTCAACGATAGCTGTCAAAACTTGATGAAAATGGCGACTAATTGTCTCACCAGAATGCCTAAACCAAAAATTCACTTCACGATTTTTTGCATTGTGTGTCAATATATATAGAGTTTTTGCAACCATTTCTTCCACACTTGACCATCGCGTGGGTTGCAGGCCAGCCTCTCTTTCTAACATAGCACATAATTCTAAAAAAGTTCTAGGAGTCATTCTAATGATATTTCGACTGGAGGGACAATCGCTAATTCGGCTCATTATTTCATCACGTACCATTTCTCTCTTGCCACTCAAACTGTAACTTATTTTTTTCGAACACATGTCACTTGCACATACTTTTACAAAGACACAAGCAAGAAGAGCTAGTACTCTTCGACGCAATTCAAACCAATGTTGCACCAGTAAAAGATTTTCAGATTCCTTGCTCATCTAACAAAGCAATCAAGAACAATAATGAAAATCAATAAACAAGCCTTAATATTCATATTTCATTATTGCAATAACCATTCTATAAATTAAACCACTCTTTAATGTTTGAATATGCTGTGATGGAGAACAAGGAAACTATATATATGTGCATATACAACTAATAAAATGATATATAGTAGAGTGATCCCAATCTCTGATAAGACAAAAACATAGAAACCTTTTTCGTGAAAAGAGAAACCTTAGATAAAGTCCCAACATAGAAAATGAAGTATTGATGATGGCTCTGTGAAACCGAACCCAAATGTTTTCAAGACACTCAGCAGCTGGGTATTCCTATAATATTGTAATGAACACTTGTACTCTCTTTCTCTCTCTGTCTATACCATTGCATGGCATTAATGTGTTCCAATCTGGTAAGGCGACGATTCAGTTATCATCATGGATCGGCTATGTAGGTTCACACCACAGATCACCTAGGGCCCCAGTATTTGTGGGTGATTCAATACCAAAAGAAACCAACCAGTCAGTTGGATATAGCGAAAGGAGCTGATCTTGGCTAATTAAAATTTAAATCCTTACTGGGAGACTGTCCTCACAATAGATTTACAGATTTTAACAGCATCAACAAGAACCCCACCTCCTGATGTTTCTAACAGTGCACGTGATTTAGTCAGTGCTGCAGCTGAGAGGGATGTGGCATCAAAGAATAAAGCCACATCCCAGAACAAAGAACAGGGTGATCTGACGGGAACAAAGCAGAACAAAGAAGACAGACCGAGAGCTCAGAACAGAACAACCAGAACAAAGCCACGCATCTAACGAAAATGAGGTGAGAGCTTCGAACGGAAAGAAAACCAGAACAAGCAGAACAACTACAGATCTCAAAACAGGGTCCGAACGAAAAGAAAACGCATCTGACCTGAGAATGCATGGTGAGAGCTTCGAAGAGGAGGACCTGATGGGATGATGCACGGCGGGGCTTCGAGCACGGCAGGCCAGACACACGGTGAGAACTCCGACAGACCGAGAGCTCCGACAGACTGAGAAGATGCTGGAGACAGACCGAGCTCCTGGAAGAAAAAGAAAGCCAAACGTATTTATTGTGTTTCAAGGGCAA